TATTATTTTTTATTCACATTTTAGTAAAGTACCTAAATTAGTGATGCCGAATTGGTTGTTGTGGCGTTCTGGGTCCCATCCAAAAGTATTCTATGTATGGAGCAAAACGTTTGTGCAGTTATTTAGATATAGTTCAGCTTTAGAATAAACTATACTCAACTCTGTATCTGAATTAGGTCTTCCAATACTGATGTTCAGATTTGCATAAAAATCTGAACTGAGGTTAAAAGTTGACCACAAGTGTAGGACACTTAAAATTATTTTATTTCATGCAGAAAATAAAGAAGAGCATCTCCTCCAAGTTTTATTGACTTTGGACCATTAGTTTTGAAATTATCCTCAGAAAGCTGACGTGAGAGTGAAAAAACGCAGTTTTGAGAAAAATGGCTTTAAAATTGAAGTACATGAAAAAATGAAAGTCATTAAAACTTTTCTGGCATATCGGTAATTTATACAAATTTTGTTGATGTCCTATGATATGATTTACGTAGAAAAACTAACCTGGACTACTCATGGGCACCAGCAAGATAGAAATCTTCGATGTCTTCACACCCCCTTGAAGTCGCTACTTTTCGTGCTCGTTGTTCAGCTGGCAGAAGTCCGGCATCTTCTGCATGAATTCTTGTTCTGTCTCGTTCATTACAACACAGTCTGGTATACAATCCAGTAGACATCCTCAACTTCTCAAATATAGGCAGCCTGTCCCTCTCTCCATCATTGAAAACCACTGCAACATCAGCAACTGCAAGAGTAAGCCTTTGCCTTCCAACAAAACCAGCCTTTGGACGCCTTTGCCAAATGAAATTGTGAAAACTTTCATTTGTACTTTGTGTTCCTCCACGGGCACACTTTGGCAATAACGTCTCACTGGCAAGTGTTTCAAAAACAGGCCTGATAGCCTTGCACACATAAGGAGGGAGAGCAGTCCTGTCAACGTCTCCAGCTGGCTGCTTCTTGGAGGGACACCAGTCTCCACAGTTAGTGTGATCACGGCTGCGGTGTTCCCATATGGCCCATATATCTTACTGCATCTGAGGCACATCATTAGTATTTCTTCTTATTGCAGCCCCATAATGTCCTTGAATGTTTAACATTGCCTACTTTGTCAGACAACCGCGCCCACCGATTCCTTGCACACGCTTGCTCAGTTCCCTTATTGGTCAGGTGTTGCCCCATTCTCTTCTGCATGTGCCCACCACACTCAATTTTGGAAATGTTCACATCATTATACACAAGTGGTTCTGCATTTGATACTGATGCATAAGGCTTACTTTCACCATCTCCAAGGAAAGAAACATAGTGCATTCCATGTAAGTGCGCACTTCGGCGGAATATTTCTAGTGCTCCAGGTGACTCCATGCTGCCTGCCGACCCACTGTGATTCTTGTCGCAGTCTTATACATGTGGACACTTCCATGCCTAAAACTAGGTCTCAGGTTTATTCGTCTGGTTTTTTGCACAAGCGTTGCAATAGTTTGACAAAACTGAGGTGTCGAGAACCTTCAAGTTATGGCCATCCACTGTGAGAACTGTGACCACGCCATTTTTGCTCTGTAACTGAATGGTAATGCGGATTTATCAGATAGGCCTTGCAAATCCGAATCGAATGCAAGTTGAATGAAGTTTCCAGACGTATACAAGCCGAGATGCAACATTTTAAAGTTTATGCATATATAATGAACTTGAATACATAGAACAACAAGTCACACGTGCTTCACAGAATGCTGCAACACTGCATTAAAAAAGATGATAACAGAAAAATGGTTCGCAGATTTATATTCTAGGATGACTGCAGTTGACATTTGTATGGTTGTCCAAAATGATCAAAAATTACGATTTTTCAGATTTTTCAGCTTAGACCCGCCCCTTAATCCCAAGTTGTTACCTCCGGTTGGTCAACCGACTGGTTCAAATGCTCCAGAACATCCTTGCGCTCGAGCAACAAATGCTCCCAAGCACACACGTTCAGGAGGTTCTGTGTCTTTCCCCGCCAAACTATATGAATTTGTTCTCTAAGTAGCTAGATCGAGCGTTACCAGTTCACTCGCTACCCGAGGAGGTGTACAGTGGTTATTAATCTTTCACATTTTGCCTTTCCTATCGTCAAATTTATCATGAGGTCTTTTGCAAGGTTTGTTTGAATTAACGAGTACAATATACTTTTTCGTGGCCCGTGCTCCGTCGTGCTGAGTTTTGGCGATGCTGCTTCTGTGTGTGTACGGTGCCGATCAGTCTGCTTGAGAATCGGGTATTAGACTCCGAATTACCAACGAACCTCTATTTCCATCGTGCTCGACGTGTGCCACAGGTACAGCCCAGTCTACTAGTAGACAGCAACTGTGATTAGACCGTGAGATGACACCTTCCGAGTTTTCGCCTTGACTAAGGGGCTGAAACTTTCTTACTATTCTTTCGACCATTACACTTTCTATACCTCCTCATTCATCACATAAATTGCATTCACTTGAGAGTAAGGTTTGGTCTTTCTAAGGCGTTGCTAATAACAGAACCCATGCTTGGACGAGAGAAAATGCAGGCCAAGCAATGAGCATTTATAACATTCCAGCCATTGTCGATACCACTCTCCCTCAAGCCTTTACACCCGATAAAATAATTGAATCATTCCGATGTACTGGAATTTTCCCAATTAACAGGGACATTTTAATGAGTCAGACTTTGCTGCACTTCTCCTTACTGAAAGGCCATTGCCCGAAACAGAGAGACCAGCTTCTTTACTAAAAGATCTAGTACAAAGCAGCTCACAAGTGACCCAGTTACCTGCTGGAACCCACACTGCACCAGTCAAGCTAGCGACCGCAGGAGGTACACATTGTTCACTTGTTGCCACAAGCATTAAAGAACTGTCTCCAGCTGGTGCTGGTCTATTAAACCTTACGCACACCTTTAGTCCTTGATTGCTATTACCATATCCACATGCAGACAGAAATCGAGTGGGGACAGTCGCAGAAACCTAAAATGTGCTGTTTACACGGTTACCGCCGTAAAAAGCATGTTGTTAGGAAGGAGAAAGCAACATGACCAAAAGAGAGTTCAAGGCTAGGGGAAGTTAAATAGAAAACTCTTCAAGAACAGACAGAAGCAAAAACATAGGGAACCTATTGATTCAGGGTCGGATGAAGAGGAATATTTCTGGTTTGTGTGCAAGAAAAGCTACAATAACAGTCATCTCGTGAGATCTGGATCTAGTGCTCAACTTAAGGACTCTGGCCTCATGAGCAATGTACAGATGTTGCTAGCCGAAACTTTCTGTTTGCTTGGCACAACTGCACTTCTGGTTAGCTTTCCCGTTGAAATTACAACTTTTCTGATTTTGTGTAGTTATATTTCACAACTAACCCTAGGTATTACAAATTGCTCCGTACTATTTTACAACTTGCCCCGGTACCCGAGGCACAAAGTAACAGAGAGGGTCACCCTACACAAATGTTTTCACACATTTCTACACCCTACAAGAAGAAAAATGTTAAAGGTTCCCTTTGCAGCTTGATTGTTGTACACATATTTAGATTAAATGGGGCAATAACTAACCGAGAAATAGCAGCTCATGTAACAAGTGTTATAATCTGCACCAGTCTATCCTAGTTACAATATTCAAGAGCATGAGGTCATCAGCAAACGATAGCGAAGGTAATTCAAGCACCTGGGGTAGAGCATTGACATAAAGTGCGAAAAGCAACGGCCGTGAAACCGAGCCCTGCCGAAGGCCACTAAGAACAGCTTGTCTAAGCGAAAGGCTACGCCCCACGCGTACCCAATGTTCTTTCCCCTTTAGAAAAGCAGACACCCAGATATCCTAGACGATCTCAAGTTTAATAAGAGTCGTTACTGTAGGACAGTACCAAAGGTTTTCGAGAGGTCAATGAAAGCACGTCACTAGCATGACCGCTGTCTACTGCCTTAGCCCAGCTTACACGAGCTACAAGTAAATGTGTCAGACACGAATATATCTTACGGAGTATTGTGCAGCACTGGGAAGATTAAAGTTGTTTAGATGATTTTCCACCGAACCCCTGACAGCATTCGCAAACAACTTAACTACTACGCTTGTCAAGCTGACAGGTTGGTAGTTCGAGGGCAGAGCGTGGTCACCGACCTTAAAAATTGGACGGAAGATTGCCTCCTTCTATTCCGAAGGTCAGGCACAGCTGTCGAGCCAGATTGTAAACACGCATGTGAGAGGGCCACAGTTCAGCGGCCAATGCATGCATTAGCTTCAGGTGGATTGAATCAGGACCAGAAGCTTTGGAAGCATTTAGTCCTTGCAATAGCCCGAAGACTTGTGTCCCAAGTATATTGATTTCAGTTAGGTATGACTCCTCCGGGACTATTCTGACCCTCACAACCTGTGGTAAAGAGGTCTCACGAGCAAAGATACCAGTATACTGTTCCTTAAATATACAAGCCTTATCATAGTCGGTATGCACACGGGTCCCATCCGCTCGTAGCACTACCGGTAACTGCTTGAAAGTCCTGTGACAGAAAATGATTGTTTTCTCCACGATATCGCGCGTGTGGGTCAACTGTAACAGACCAGTAGTCAAGAATCTTACAATATAATTTCAGAAATTCAATAAACACTGTCCATTAACTCAAAGCGTAGGAAAAAGTCTTCCACAGTAAACTGAGGATTAGCTAATGGAACCAGTAATCACATGCACCATAGTAGGTTCTTTGATACCTTGTAAAATTGTTCATTAAAACAAGTCTAGTATCACATTCAGGTTAGTCTCCCATTATCGCATATACACATGATGGTATGGAAATCAATCCAGTGCAGGAAATCCGAAGATCCTTTTCACACTTGCTTATAGAACGCAGCTGTGAAGAACTAAATTAAATCAGTAAATAATTTGGCTAAACTACTTTACAACATAATGCACCGTATTTCAACGTTCATATGTTTACGTTTGAGTGCACAACTTTGTGTTTAAATTTCCTATACTTCATGCCATCATAACAGTGGGAATTTGGTTGACGGGATGACCTTCATCTTTTTGTCACTAATATGTTTTTGGACAGCGATAGGAACTGCGGAGATTTTTATTCAAGGAAAAGATGAATCAGGGCGTGTCTTTGTTTCCTCCGGTAATAATTTGGTCCTAGTATGTTCATACAAAGGACTTTATTTAAATGACATTAATTTGGAATGGTTCGTGCCATCTAAGCAGCAACAGGCCGTTAAATCTAGCTCCAAAGCATACGTTTACTGGCAGGACAATATAAACGAAAGGAACTACGTCTTAGTCGTTCGGTCTGTTACTACAGATGATTCGGGACTGTGAGTTATAAAACGGTTTTCAAGTGTTGTTCACAAAATGTTTTATGAATGATTTATACATACAACCTAATTAAATAAGCTGATGCCATGTATGTCAATAGCCTATTAACTGGCTCTTTCCAATATAACATTTAATCCAGCCTAAATAGTTTCTCGAACACTTTCATCATGATAACTTTATTCCTGCTATTCTCACTTATCGTTACACGTTATAGCTGTTAGCACCTCTGGAAAACTGGTCTAAGCAGTGCATATTATCTACTTTTTTCATGCTGCCTTGTCGCTGTGATTCCTTACTTGGGGACCATCTAATTATTAAATGTTTTGAATGTCCAAACAATAAATAATTGTCAGCTTAAGGTATTTAGAAAAAGTAAAAAACAACCTCCAAATATTTGTGTCATACCCGACCGTAAAATTAGTAAATAGCGCTCCAATATAAGAAATATTGTCACATACTTTGAAGCGAAACGGCAACAGAATATGACAGATTCGGTAGGAGCGGCACCCATAAGTGTAAGTTGCGAGTTCACGCGTGTTGGATGGATGTGGTCGTTTCTAGTCTTGAGGTCAGGATCACTGAATCAAAATAGATATCGGACTGCCTTCGCATTACCATCATCATAATTATACACGTTAGCTAGAGGTGGGAAGTACCTCAGCTACTGTGCAGCAATACATAAAATACAAAATCATAAAATGTAGTATTAAGCCAGCTGGGGCACCGGTAACGGATGGACAGCGTTCTGGTAAGCTATCAGCCGGCATAATGCGGCAACAAAATTTGCTATTCAAACTTTTATTTGACTAAGTATTGAGATCGCGCTTTAAATGGAGGTAAAGACGGATGGGCTGGGACAAAGATACCAACAGCACGAACGCCACTGAAATCGGCTCCTACATAAGGCAGGAAGTGCATCCAGCCAAATGTATTCATCGTCTTTTGGACCCCAACCAGGACGCCGTGACACTCTAACCGAGGCCAGCTTCGAAGGGAGAGCCTTTATTCCCCTGGTCCAAGTCATCGCTTGGCCACCTCTCCTCTTCTTCCACCCACATCCCCGGTGAGCAAACAACGTACGTCGAGGGAGTCAGTGGGCTAGCATGCTTTGCATCTGGCCGAGCTATCGCAGTTTACTGCGTAAAATAACGGTGCTGATCGGTTCAGTTCCTTTTTACGTGCCGCAAACAAGGCGTCGAACACGCTCGTTGATCACGCGGTGTTCCCACCAAATGTGCGCCTAATTTCGAAGGCACCGATGGTCGAATGTAACTAGCCTCTTAATGTTCGCTGATCTAAGGGGCCAGGTTTCGCAACCGTACGGTAGGGTCAAACTTACCGTTGCATTGTACACTCTACCCTTCAGGACAAGAATGATGTCGCGTCGGCGCCATAAGTGTGCAAGGTTAGCAAAAGCGCCTATAGCATTTTCTTTACGGTCCGTGAGCTCAGCTTCAAACCACGGACGCTGATGCAACTTCCCAGGTGATTGAATTTCTGAACGACTTCTAGCGGATCCCCACCAACAGTCAGCATAGGAGGTGGTCCAGGTCAATACTGAAGGAACGCTTTACACTTCGAGGGTACGAAGCAAAACCTGAAGTGACTGATATCCAGTGTTAATCTGTTCAGAATCACTTGGCAAGTTTGTCAGCTGCCACAGATTAGGGAAATATCGTCTACATACTCCAAGTCAAGAAGTCGTCCTTCTAGTAGCAGAGCCACATCTTCTAATCCTGTCCTGTAAATACGATTTCCATGAGTTCGTCAATAGCGAAGTTGAATAGGAAAGGTGACAGTGGGCATGTTTGTCTCACACCGTTAGAGATATTGAAGGGCGACGATAGCTTGCCGTAAACCCTCAGTCTGCCCAAGGTACGCGCGTGTAACGCTTGGATAATATGTACATATATCTCGGACACACTTTTCCTGAGTAGACGATCCCAAAGGACACATCTATTTATAGGATGGAATGCACCTTTGAGATCGAGGAATAGGACAACGGTGAACCGCCAATTTTTGTGCCGGTGCTCCAACGACTGACAGAAAGTAAAGATGTGGTCGAAGCAGACACGACCCCGACGAAATCCGGCTTGCTCTTCACGAATCCAGCTTTCACTGTGGCCAGTGGATTTGTAAAGGATGACAGTGACAAGCAATTTGGAGGCGATGGAGATCAGACTCCTCTATGGTTGTCGCATTCTGATCGTGAACCTCGATTGCAAATTGGGACTATGACGGGGCGGCTGCAGTCGATTGGGACAGTTTTCTGCTCCCACAGTTTTACTAGTAACTCGTGTAAATCATTCATAAGTGAAGGTCTCCTACAGCTGAAGGAAGCTGTGGGAAGATCGTTCGATCCCGCGGCTTTATTTAGCTTCAAGGTTCCGGTCTCACCTTCGACTTTTGATCGAGATGACGGATCCAAAGAGACAGCCCACAGAGCAGGACAATTAGTGGCCGGCACGAAATCTGACAATTACGACCGACTAAATTACTTTCATTCTGCTCAGCCGAACGCTCCAAATGTTTTGACAAGTTGTGGATAGGCTGTCTTGTCTCGTCACCCATTATTACACTAACATGAGGTCTCCTACTGCTCGTTTCCAGTATTGCACGGAATAAGTTACGATGGTTACCAAGGGCAGGGGCCACTTCCATCTCTGACGCACGAAGACACCACCAGGATTCGCGGACTCTCTTCAGGGTAGCATCGAGTTATGCTCCGAACTCTTCGCGAGTTTCAGTGCCCTTTCTTATAGCCAGAATATGCCAGCAAGCATTGATAAGTTCCAGAGACCGCGAGCAGACCCATTGTGCATGTTGCTGATTAGATATACCACCTGAGGACTCTTCTGCTGCTAGTAAGGTCTGGTGAATATGAGACCATTGAAGTTTAGTTGGCTTTATTGAGCGCACCAATTTGACCAGGAGTTGCCTGGCTTGAAATGGGCGGTAGCAAACCATTGAACACCCGGAGGTTTCCTCCCACCGTCAGGGACAATGCGTGGCGCAAGTGTTCTACGCCAATAGAGCTGTGAACATATAACCCGTAGACCTGTTGTCTCCCATGACTAGGTTTTACGGGAGGAGAGTCATCGACTACTTCCTAACCTCCGAAGAGGATGGACTAGGATACTGCCAGGGCGCTCACACCTGACAGGAGAACGACTAGGGTCCTCAGCCAAAGCCTTCGATTAAATGTAAACGCGAAAGGCAGCGGGCCTAGCACATGGTCAGTTAGCCGACTCATGCGGATTGGTGTCCTGGATCTTAGCAGGGAGAAAGGCGAAACCCAAATCGCACCCAGCGGTCGCCACGAGGAGGCGCTCAGGACATGAGACTATGGCGCAACAGTAGCAGCAGTGGGTAGACTATCTGTCAGGATCTATCCCCCACCAGCCTCAGCGCACCATATACTCTCCCGCCCTATATATATATATATATGTGTACTCCCCAAAATGAATTTCCTCGGGCTATTTTTAGTTGCATTGTACATCAAGCTGTGCTAGGTCTCCTTCACTGTCAGGCTGGTTCGCCTTCTACTTGGTGCATGATTTGGTGCAGAGCTGGATACTCACCATGAGTACCTTTTGTGTATTACATGAGTGCTGGCTTGCCGAACTACCCCGTGGTGCCAGCTTGGTGATTCTGATGTACCCTGTTCCAGCAACTTGTTCGGCGGCAATTTTCCATCTCAGCGGTGCATAGCATTCCAACAGTTGTGCTGACTTCTTGGGGAGTATTAGGTCCCTGTTTGGTAATCTACCAAACAAAGGCGTATGAACTGAACATTCAGTCAACGCCTCTCATTGGGCGCGATTACCTAAATTCGCCATGCTGCCTTGCGGATAGGTTATTTAGCCAAAGTCTCGGGGTGGATTCCCCTAAATCAACTCCCTACTTCAACTTGGGCAACCGGGTAGTACCATGCCCTCTCACAAAACCATGGACTGTATTATAAAATAATAAATAATAATGTGTCAGCTGTACTCCGTAACGGCGCTTCGCTGCCGCGCGACCACCACCAGTTGCGCCCGGGCTGATTATACCGCGAGGACGCCCACCCCTACACGGATTCGAACCGGTGACCTTATGGTTGCAAAGCAAACGTGCAGACCACTCGGCCACCGGCCGACATGAACTGTATTACACCGCGTTCATCAGCTACGGTTTCTGCTAGTCAGTTTCACGTGACTTCATCACAAGCCAATTGTTTGTTTGCTAGCAATCCGCACTTTCCTTTACCCGATTCATGTATTCAACAATCTGGCCCCGATTCCGGTTGCGCCACAGACCAAGATGTTCAATCTATGGCTCTCCTTTGTCCCTGATCCTCGTTCCGTCTGGCGTGCTTCAACGTTCGGACACTCATGCGGAATGGATAGCAAGCCGGTCTAGCGCGCACCTTAGATTCCCTAGACATTGATGTCTGCTGCCTTTCAGAAACCCGATTGCAAGATCCCAGGACTGTGCTTACGTTCACATCCCTCAATGACCACGAAGCCATATATCACCTGCGTCTTTCTGGAGATCCAGAAACAGCCTCAGCTGGTCTGGCTGGTGTAGGTATAGCACTAAGTGGCAATGCCGAGGCGGCACTACTGGACTGGTTCCCGATTAACAGCCGATTATGTGTACTTTGGCTTCGGGGTTCGTGTAGAATCAACAGGCACGGCAAAGAGAGACACAACTTGTTTGTGATCTCCGTGTACGCTCCAACTGACTGCAATGGCGACTCGGTCAAGGATGAATTCTACCAAGATCTACATCAGCTCTTTCCTAATTCTAAAATGTAGCATGTCGTTGTCCTTGCTGAGCATTTTAATGAACGGGTTGGTCGCCTGTTACCATACGTACGCCACCTTGATGGTCATCAGGCGCTCCATCAGAACCGCTCCGATAACGGAGAGAGACTTCTCACGTTGTACGAAGACAACCTTCTGTTTCTTTCGAGCATTAACTTCAGGCGTACGAAGAAGCGTTCCGCAACGCGGCG